AGGTGATTATGTTCATTAAAATTGACCAAAAACAAGCTTTGATGATGCAATATTTTAAGATTCAGGCAAAGAGACCAGTCTTAACTGGTAAAGCAAAAACTGTGGAAGGATTTCTAAAACTTAAAGTTGCAGCCCTGAGGTGGATGAAGCAAGTATGGGAATACGATTTTTTATGCCTGTATGTAACTCGCATTACTTTAAAGGATAAACCCAGCTAAAACTATTAGTGAAAGGAAAAGTTAATGCATTCTGTGTGCAGCCAGAGAGTAGTGCACACTCTGATTTAGGGTTTGAATGAGAGTGTGCTCTACTCTCAGAATTAAAGCTGAACTTCCAAGGAGTTGCCACAGCGATCCTCTCCTGGATTGTATTGATTGAATGTGATGCTCTGATTTGCAAATGTGGTTCAAAACTTCAAAGTGTGTGGTTTAGTATTCAGAGAGCTGAGGGTGAATCACAATTCTCCCCTTATAGTAAATGATGAAAAAAATGTGTAAAGACATTCCTCCCTTGGCAACATTTTGCCCATTTAAATTTCTCTATACTGGTTAGCAGTCAGAAAACATTGTGCCTTCTTTTTTAAAGATTCTTTGGGAAACTTTCAGACTGATGATTTCAAACAGAATAAACCCCACTGGTCCTTATCCATCTACTTATATAAGAACACACGGGAGATTTCTTTTGTTAAACTAACAACAAATATTCTATAATCATTGTCATTCAAATCAAACGAATAAAGAATATTGACAAAGATTGTAATCTTTTTTTGGTATTTTCTTCACATGGAACACAGAAACAAAACATATCTGTTTTTTTGGAGCAAAAATACAAATAAATGATAATAATTTTCTCTAAAACCAACAAACCTTCTTTAAAACTGTAATCTATCAAAGGCATACGCGTTTCTTACGGGATTTGTTCATTTATCTAGGCAGTTCTTATTTGATTGATGCTAGTTCACAAAGGTTTCAGTTTTTCAGGCAGTGTATTTCTGGGGAAACAAAGGAAAAATGAAGCATAACACCTTTCCTAACAGACGTTTTGGCTCGGAGCAGAAGGAAGAGTATGGAGACTTACATTCCATTTGAGTGACTTAGTTGAAGGATGTCTCACTGTCATGGCTTACTGGGACAGTTAATGGACCGGAGCCATTTGAAACAAGATTTACTTCACTTGTGTTTTTCTCTCATCTTAATATCAGAGTGAACTGCAATTCATTGGATGATAGAACTCTGTCGTTTTTCTGATAATGCTCTGAAAAGATTACACTTAAATTAGCCAAGTAATTCAATTTCATGTTGCATTGCCTCAGTCTGTTGCTGGATCACTGGACTCCTCTAAGGGTCTTGGGCTTTTTGAGACTTTCTGAGGACCAAGCTTAATTGGAAAACTTCTGCCTTGGTGCTTGAGTTCAGATTTGCCAAATTTGGATTCCTTACTAAATTCAGTATGTAACTCTGTCACATGATGGATGTATTCTGAGAATACATTCATCCAAATCCCTACCTTTTGTGCTTCAGGTTTTCTTACGACCATCTTTTTCTCATCTAATTCTCTTCTAAATGTTCCTAACTTACTGTTACTGTGAGAAAACTGCAATTAACTGCAACAGAAGTGAAGATCGCCATAAAGTCGGAGGCCTATATCGGAAAATTGCGTGAGAAAGTAAGTAAACAACAAACTAAACGTGGCCTTCCGTGCGTGTCCTGACCACAGCTCCTGTGCCTCCACCAAAGGTAACGTTCAGGAAAACAAATAACAGCTACTTTAACACTTCGCTGAAAATGCCAACGGTCTCTTGTGGGATTTACGATTCTGAAATTGCCCTCCTGGTTTATTTGCGGCCTCTGACTAGTCGTCCCTCTGATTACGCAGGTGAATTTAATTGGAAACATCAGAGCAGCAGCGAGGGCCTGTTTTCTGGCGGGTGGCACTGTTCTCACGCCATGCCTTTGGGACCGCCGGGCTTACGGCCACAGCGGGCGCTCGTAAAGGAGAGAAAAATCTGTCGTGAAAAGAAAGTGAAAAGTGTTCCAGTTGTCACACTAAACACCTTCATTTCCAGAGTTGTTTGGGACTTATCCTGAATAAATAATGCTTAAAGATATGCTCTTGACAGCTCTGTGTTTATCTTCAATTAACACCTTGAAAAAGAGAAGAATAACAGAAAATGGAACAAAAAGTCTCTGTGCCAGAGGTAATTCCTTTCAAAACATCTGTCAGTCAAAGTCATTTCTTGCTATTGGAAAGTGGACGTACTTCGAAACCACACAGCGTTTCACACACCCAAAATGTTGTCTTGGTAACAAATGCTTTTTGCTTGCATACAAAAATGACTAAACTACTACTTCCAATATTCAGTACGCAATAACCTGTAAAGTGGAAGCTTACAGGTAGGTATTGTTCTTGATATTGTGATGCCATTCTAACAAAGACCAACACAACCAAAGGGCCACTATAGTGATTAACTGCCTCTTAAGTTGATTGACATCCCCATCCTACAAGAGACTGATCAACTCCTCGAAATGGCACATTAAAGATACCATAAAAAAAACTAGTTCCATATGTTCTCATGTAAAAAGTGTTTTTTTTTTCCAGCCGGCTGTGCTTTGTGTTGTTTCTCTTGACTGTGCCGTTTCATTCCAGAGCCTTGTTTTGTGCTGCAGAGCACAGGAGACCGTGTGAGGATGACGTTCCCTCCCAACATCTGGAAGCGTGCTTAATGATCATTAAAAAAACAAGATGAACTGCTCTGTGAGCTGACGGGGGGGAGGGGTCCAGCACGGTTTCAGGCTGCCTTCACATACGTTCGCTGCCTTTGTGACAGCCTCGACGGAGACCCCCGCCTGAAAGCTTTAAAATTTAATTTGGCCTTGTTCTAAATTTATAGGCAACACTAAATTTACATTCTCCTGCGTGAGAATCGGTGTCACGGCGTTTCTATTCCAGGACTGGAGTGTCGAGAGTCTGAGATAAAGTATAGGCTACTTCCCCTGACCACAGCCTAGTTAGTAAAAAAAAAAAAAAACTGTCACATAGCTGCATTTGTGATGTTTATCTCATTTACTTGCTGAATCGTGAGAGAATTTGTGATTAAACTCTGCCTTAATGAACTTTAATTACAACTTACTCAACTTGCAATCTTGCGCAACACAAGCGTATAACTGCTGCACATAATTTCCCTTATTTCCTCTCCAAAACCAAAACAACTGGTTTCAACATTCAGATCCCAACAACAGCAGGCTGCTTGTAGCCCATGAATAATGCTGAGGTCAAAGGTACCTGCATTCAGGCACTCCCCTCCAGTGGTAAGTCAGAACAGGCTCTTCCAATTATTCGCTCACCAACTTTAAGCCATCCTGATTTTTGAGAAAACGAACCATTGACTGACAATGACGCGGTCACCAAAGAGATAAATACTTTCTATTCTCAGAGTATTAAGATATATTTGCATGGAATTTCATATAAGAAGACCCACCAATGGGTGCCTCAAGTAAGATTGAGTGTTTTTGAGTGTTTTATGAGTAATTGCAAAGAAGGAACAGATTTAAGATGTAGTCACAAAACATTTTTGTACAAATACAGTTATATATGCAGGTTATGTGGAGGGAGAAGAATGAAAGAATAAAGTTTGTTTTATTGTTGCTAGGTTGGCTAGCAACAATAGGTTGGCTAGCCCACGCCTGTTCAGTAACCAGGATTTGCCCTGTTTACACACTTTGACTGTAGGTGTTAGAACACTTTTCACTGAGCACAGATAATAACCACACAAATGTTAGCTGAAGCGGAAGAAAACTAAAAAACTGACCGAAAATGTACTTTCTTGAGCCTGTCAAAGCTTTGGTCTCTACTTAGTTACGATTCACACAAAGATGGTGGCTTCATGCTATCTCTCATGGCCTTGTTCTTGTGAAGACATTTGTCAAAATTCAGTTTGTCTCAAGCACTAAAATGTTGTCCTGAGTTTTCAAAACAAAAATGTTCAGAATATTTAGTGTCATTAGCTAGTGAATGAGAACTAACCGTAATACATTATTAATGTGTCTCTGCTTGTGAGCGATGGTTTTGTTTTTGGAGCTTAAGTAATTACTGGATGAAATTAACATTTAGAGAGCATGGGCTATTTACCTGCAACTCCTGAGTGAAACAAATGGGGCAAAGCATTTGAAGAGAGCCGGTTTACCAGGATGAGGTCTATCTTCAGGCTTACCAAAACTGAAAAAAGTTGCTGTATTGAGGCGCCATTAGTTAGAGGATATTGTCATTTGTACCCCGTTAAAATGCAGACACCATTCAAATGCTGTCTGCAATAATGTCCTATAATTGATTTAATAAATTATTATTCTTGTGCATAACGACATATCAACGCCAGACCCAGACAACACAAACTAGGAATCCAAAATTAAGATACAGTTGAAAGATATTAAACATTTATCACCGATATGAATGTCATTGTTCTTCTAGTTGTTGTTTTTTAATGAAAAAACAACAAAAAACAAGATACAAAATATCCAATTTGAATGTTCAGATTTGTGCACATGTACATATGATTAGATGTCTCCTCTTTGTGGCTGGCACTCATATTTTTCTCTTTTATTACATGCCTGAACTAAACACCCTTTCAGGCTGAAGCCTCGTTTCCAAACTTGGGATTATTTTCCTGTATCGCTGGTGCGGAGCATTAACTCCTGAGGTGAGGGGGCCATCTGCAGGCGGAGGGCGGTACTGCGTCTGAGGGAAGAGCTACGTCAGCACTGCGCTACGTGGAAGAAGCTGCGGGGCCGGAAGTCCTCCATGACGCCACGACGAAGGTATTACACTTCAGAATAAGAGCGTCCTCTCGGTGTGTGACCTCCTACTTCCTATTTTTTAGCATGTAGCAAACTTAGAGACGTATATTTCGGTGTTTCCTTAAAGTATATCGCCTTAACATCCCAACTTTTCCGCGCAAATCCAAACGAACATAACGCGCGCTTTTATTTTGAAGTTTGGCTATTAACGGGCTGGATGCAGGGATTTTCTGTCTGAATTAAGCACCAGCAGCCACACAATCATGTGAGAGCTTTAGATGGGGGGATGCTTTTGCGTGGAAACAGTGAGCTGAATGCGATGGTGGCTCCCCGCTGAACCGGCCTCAGCTTCCGGGCGTGTTTCGTGCGCGTGTGTGTGTTCCGTGTGGGTGTGCGCGTCTCTCCGTCGTCCGTCTGGGCTGGGAACAGAAAGAGGTGAGGACCGGGGCTATAGCAGCCACATCAGCAGCTCAGCTGTGGGGAGCTGCGTGGACGTGGACGCGGACGTGGACGCGCTCAGCGGCTGTCTTCTGTGTGTTTTTTGCAGAGGTTCCATCATGGCAGACAGCATCATGTCCAAGGCTGCTACCATGGAGATCCCCATCAACAGCAACGGAGACACAGGGACCCTCACAGAGGATGACAGCCTGGAGCAGGTCAGCCGCTGACCGTCTGGTCATAGAGTGGACATGCTAGTGTTTTGTGCTCAGGTTTGGGTTTTCCCTACCTGGATATTTAGGGCTAAAGCTGCAGAGGCCAAATGTTACCTAACCAAGCTCAGGCCTGCACCACTGGTCCACTATCACCTCCACTAACTACAGATGGAGGAGGCCATGTAGAAGGGAAAATGGCAAAAAGAAATGTGAATTGTTTTATTCAATACTGTGGAGGCTTTCAGTCATATTACCAGTGTTAAAAATAAAAGATGTGCCCAATTTAGCCACAGTCTGACCCAACAATAGCAATACAGAACAGGGATATATGTCAGTAATGACATGTAATTCTCCTTTAAACTATATGTACAGTTAATACCCACTAAAGGTGGTATGATTGATACTGATATGGTTTACAGATATATGGTTAAATCTTTCATTTTTCAGTTAGAGAATTGGTTTTGGATTATGCATTATGGATGCAGCTATAATCAAACCTAAATAGGATGAAATGTGTTTATGTTTATGCTTTAAAAAAAAACCTGGCTTCTAAGTTTATTTTCAATAGCTTGTAGTTCTTTATCGATACTGCTCAGCATCCTGAAGGGATGGAAAAGATTCAAAATGTCATTGTATTTCGTGGTTCCTGAAATAAACTTAATTTAGTCTTTATATATACATCCACCAGGATCTGCAGCAGGTGATGGTGTCTGGACCCAATCTGAATGAAACCAGTATCGTGTCGGGTGGCTACGGGGGACCTGCGGGGGGAATCATTCCCACGAGCTCCATCAAAGGTACCGCCCCCCATTCCGGGCCCCTCTCTGTCGCTTAGTCCTGCGCGTGCACACACAGCTAGCACTGGACACATGCACAGAAAATAAAGCCCTGTTAAGTAAGAGTTGCTTCTGGATGGATGTTTTCCTGCAGTCTTGGCGCGGGCCTCTGTTTTCACTCTGTCAGCTGTCAGACTCAGACCGCCCTGAGCCGAGCCAGATTTCTGTCAGAGTGGTGGCAATCCTTTAGGAACTGATGGAGGTCAATACTTAGAGCGCCTTTTAAGAAACCGCGGCAAAGCCAGAACCGCTCCTTGTATTTTAATGTGTCCCTGGGCAGCTGCTGACCCTTAGGCCTCTGGTCTGTGTTACAAACGTCATGTTCCAGGGCCCGCCGTCCGTTTCAACCCCGAGTATCTGGACAGAAGACGGGGCCCTGCATCAGGACCAGGTGGCTGCGTAATCTGAGGACCACCTTTTGTTTTCTTACCTGACCTTCCTGTTACTACTTTTTTGGCCCTCCTATATAAGGCTTCTGGTATTGCTTGACTAGGATTTGGATGCAGTCTTGCCTGAACCTATTCGACTCACACCTACAGCAGCATTTTGAAAATAAGGAATGTGCTAACGTGTTCTTTCAGAGCTGTTATTTGAAATATGTTGGGGTGCTCAGTGAGAATGACCTCCTCTGTGCTATGAAATGCACCAGGCGACTAGTTTGTTAAAACTTTGTGCTTATTTTGTCTCCACCAGTGTCTGTTTTTCATCTGTTTGCCTCTTTATATCCTGCATGACAAACCTGCACTATGGATTTCTACCCTTTAAAGCCGTTTTAACCCCAGCTTATTGCATATCCTCTATCACTCACCCTAACAGTTTCCCTTCAGTCTACATTCTGTGTTGTCCATACCCATAAATCACTGCCAAGCTCCTCTGCATATAGTTTCGCTCACTCATTTTTCTCTTTACGGCAACCATGCTCATTTCAGACATCCGCATGAAATCCCGGGGTGTTAACTTGCCTAAAAGTCAGTCTGCAGCCAGTCGACTGGCCCATCACACAGACCCGCACCCAGGTATCATCCAGCTCATCACCATGTCCATTCTGGTGTCATCTGTTGTCATTATGGATGCATTAAACCATTCCCTTTGCATCTCTGCAAGAATAACACATTTTAAAGTGCCTCACTCTTTTCTTTTTTTCCTGTAGGGTCTTTGAACCATAACGCCGGTTCATCTGAAGAAGTTTCTCGTGGTGTGGCTGTAGAAAAATTGGACAGTGTAAAGAAATGGGGCATTAACACATACAAGGTATTGTTGATGCTTTATTTTAAATGGATGATTTACAAATGAATTTTGAGTAAACCTTTCAAATGGAGCTCAGTTTAAAGTGTTCAACATGCTAGCTTCCATTGCCTCATGTCAAACTAGGCTCCATAATGTCGACAGAAGGTGGCGCTATAGGCTGCACACTCAGTGGATGCAGTGAGCAGAGCTATGGTGGCTTACAGGAAACAGCCTTGTTGGCAAGAGCTAAAACAAAACTGTCAGCATGGGACAAATAGAAGAGGAAAATATAAGGGACGACCTCAGGAATTAATCTATTCTGAGTATGCTCAGATCGTGCTTTGATGGAGCTGTATTGGCCATTTTGATTCTCTAGAGGCAGAAATAGCCGACTGTTCATGTGATCAGTCATGTGAGTTAAATGTTTACAATGTCAGTACTGATTTGCTGTGGATTGTTCCATTTTGTCCTAAAGAATCTAACTGTTTTTCTCTACTTGTATTACCTGTGTCTAAACTTTTCAAACGTGCATCACTTCGTCTCTTTTCAGTGCACAAAGCAGATGTTCTCAGAGAAGTTTGGCAGAGGTTCTCGAACTGTAGACCTGGAACTCGAGGCTCAGATCGACGTGTTGAGAGACACTAAGAGCAAGTACGAGAGCATCCTAAGACTGGCGACGGCCCTCATCACGCATTTCCAGAACATGGTGCAGACGCAGCAGGCTCTGGGCGACACGTTCACCGACCTGAGCCAGAAGTCCCCGGAGCTGCAGGTATGCTGGACAGACGCTCCCGCTCCGCTTCCATACCAGCTTTCCATGTCAAACGGGAATGTCTCTCTGCAGGACGAGTTTGGCTATAACGCAGAAACACAGAAGCTGCTGTGTAAGAATGGGGAAGCCCTGCTCGGCGCCATCAACTTCTTTGTGTCCAGCGTGAACACGCTGGTCAATAAAACAATGGAGGACACTTTGCTGACCATTAAGCTGTATGAGAACGCAAGGTATCAAACCCTTTCAGAGGTTAAGAAAAGGCTTCATGTCTATAGCTATGATCATTTGAATAAACTGCTGATTCTGCTGTGTGAATCAGACTGGAGTTCGATGCCTACCGTTCTGACCTGGAGGAGCTGAGTTTGGGTCCGAGGGACGCCGCGGCAACGGTCCGCATTGAGATGGCTCAGCAGGACTACCACGTCCACAGAGAGAAGTACGAAAGGCTCCGCAGCGACGTCACCATCAAGCTTAAGTTCCTGGAGGAAAATAAGGTTTGTGTAACTTGTTTTAGTCACTATGGAAACAGTAATGTACCATTTTCCCATTTCGCAGTGGAAAGATGGTTTCTGACCGTTTTACTGTGCAGATTTGCTCATTTTTGCTTCTGTTTTTTAAAGTTCAAAGTACATACGTCCTATGAGATGCATCAACTTCTGCAGCACAGACTCACGATTTAGTAAAAAAAGGTTTCTATTCTGCCGAAGCTTTTGTTCATTCTGCTCTCATTCTTTTACGGATCATTGAAGTTCAATTCAATTCAATTTTATTTATATAGCGCCACATCACAACAACAGTTGTCTCACAGCGCTTTCCAAACAGAGCATGTCAGACCCTACTCTGAAGTTGACTACAGAAACCCAACAATTCCCACCATGAGCAAGCACTAGGCGACACAGGCAAGGAAAAACTTCCTTTTAACAGGCAGAAACCTTGAGCAGAACCATGGCTCAGGGTGGGCGGCCATCTGCCTCGGCCGGTTGGGGGTGAGGGGAAAGAGAGAGCAAGAGAGAGAGAGAGGGCGAGAGAAGGACAGAAGGAGCAGAGAGAGGCAGCCAACACAACAACACGTAGAAAGTGATGATGATGATGATGAATCTCGTTCCATTGAAATCCTGTTGCCCATCTCAGTGTTGTGATGTAATGATGCCATGACTACACGGTTGGATGTGGTTACAGATTCTGTTCAGAACAGCACAAATATGACAACACCCTAACTCATCCATCACCGGCGCTGGGTGTGGTCTGAGGACCGAAAAAGGGTGGAAGCTTCAAACCAAGTGTGACAGTGAACCAGTGTTTTCCATTTTTCAGTGGAAAATGACGTGTGTTTATGATTTTGACTAAGAAAATGCTTTTACACATGTTGTGAAATTCTATTTTTGTGGAATTTGATGCGGGGACGTGGCTTTGTTGAATAGCTTCTAGACTGTATTGTTCAATAAGCCCAGTGTTAACCGCAGTTATTTAGAGGTAATATTATAATATCTAGAGAGTTTACAAATGAAAATACATTGTAATCTTCATGGGTCATAACTCCATGAACCTATAGTCTAAGGCTTACTACAGATAAGAACAACAAAGTCGGATAAAGAATACATTTTGCCATATCAGGGAGAAATGTCAGATGTAAAGGCATTTGTTTGTGGGAGATTCACAGAACCACTTCAAAAGCTTATCAGAAGAAGCTTCAAGTCTTTTTTCATTAAAAGTATTTTAAACACATCCTGTTGTAAATGATAGCTGTCGGCCGTTCTTTACATTGTATTTTCAGTAAACACGTTTCCCGCTTCTTCTTTTTCTCCCCCTCCAGGTGAAAGTGATGCACAAGCAGCTTCTTCTCTTCCATAATGCAATCTCGGCTTACTTTGCTGGCAACCAGCAGCAGTTGGAACAAACTTTGATACAGTTCAACGTGAAGTTAAAGCCGCCGGGATCAGACAAACCGTCCTGGCTGGAGGAGCAGTAATGAGCACCCGGGTTCAGCCCTCTGGCCCCCATCAGTGAAAAATGTGGAGTTGTGCTTAGATGGACAGCAGTTAAATGCTATAGGGAGTATATAGTAGGACCATTAACAGCCAGCGATATCTCTTTGGTAACATGTTTCAGTATCATTTATTACGTTAGATTAGATTGTTTTGATTTACATTTAAAATGTCTTGTTTTTGTAATTTTGTTATTCTATCTAGGTAGTACAATCGTTTACACATACATCACTTATTTCTGCACTTCACTGTGGTTTTGTGTGATACCCCTGGGCAGTTTTGCACATCCATATTTTTATGTTAAATGATATGTAATGTTTCAGTCTTGAATGGATGAATTCTATTCATCAGATTGGTAAATAAGTGGGGTACTCTTGATTAAAATTATGATACATTATCAAATTATGTTTTTTTTCTGAAAAAAATTCTTCAGCATTTTAAGGGTTTTAATTTCCAAGATAAACTACGACTACTTTGTTTCTACCGTCACTTTTTAAAATCTGAATGGTCAATTTACAGGTGACACTTAAGGAGAAATACAATTATAGGAATGTAGCAGTTTTCTCTAACCAAATATACAGTTTGTATAGTTACGCTACTGTACGAGGTTCTGATGTGTGTGATGATGCATCATGAACATCTTTTGAGACTCATTCTGGAAGTTTCAAAGGCACACACACATTAGGAGACATTACAGTTGCCCATGTCCCTTTCAATTCAGAATGTATGAGTACGTTTGTCACATTTTTAGTTGTTCACTCACCAGTTTGTTGCACAACATTGTATGTTACTGAGATATATTTAAGGTTGTAGTCAGCTGATTGTCTATATCATGATCTGGATTTCCAATAAAGTGCTGGATGTTTTGTTTCACCTAACTGGTTTTGTTTATTCAGATGAATGTTTTTTGAAGAATATGTTTTTTGTGCTGCTGTCAGTCGCTGTTTAGTTGAAGGAATGATAAAAAGCGGCATGTTAGCTTTGCAAAGTCATCTGCAGCTGGTATAACTGTTCAGAATAGTGATAATTAGAGAGACTAATATATTTTTGGCTTATTTCTTTTTCTGTGACGTCTGCATATTTACCCATTAACAAACAGGAAAATAGTGATGCTCTTGAGTCAAATGCTGCTCCATCAAAACCAACTTTTGTAATAAATCTCTAATCTCTGGTTCAAACAATACCTTATGCTTATGTCCTTCTTTGCCGTTTCATTCACCTGTTTGAATGTGTCTTTGCAACTAAAATTCACACTTCTAATGAACAAAAAGATGAGTTTCAGTTTCCTGTAAACATTTCAAAGTAATGCAACTCATCTGGTCACCAGTAATAATCCCAGTCAAGCCATGAGCCTTAAAACAGTACGCATTAGAGAAGAAAGAACATTCAATTAATGATATTGAGAAAAAACTTGATTTATCCCCAGGGGTGATTGAAAACACACAGTGCTATTGTAGGTGCTGGAAGAAAATCTAAAAGATTAAGAGCACAGGGTGATAAAAAAAAGTTACCTTGACATAATTAAAACTATTAAAATATTACCAGCTTTGCAAAATGCTGTCAAAAAGAATTTAGAGTGGAAAGTTAAAGAGACAGGTAATTGAATAAATAAGGAGTGTGTTTTCCATCCAGCTGAACAGATGCTTTGACCTGGGTTCTCTTATTGTGGCCTCTCATTAAGTGGGCTGGTTGTAAACGCTTGAACGTTGAACAGATCAATCCCCCCCCCCGTCTGTTGTCCATTTTGCTGTGGGTTTAAAGGCAGTGAAGCCGCTCACAGAACAGCTGAGAGCCGAACAACAAACCCGGGGCCCAGCACACAGCAGCAGCCCACAGGCCGGAGTTCCTCCCCCGGGAAGGTGTGTTCTGCCATGGAAGTGTGGGATTTACCTGGGTGTGCCGGCAGACGCAGCCCGTTGCGACAGGCGCTGCTTGCGATATCCAGGCTGATGTCATTCCGTTTGTTTTAAGTTTCTACAAGACGACCGAAAACCCCAAAAGAGGAAAACACGAGCATGGAACCGCTGCTGACCAACTGAAAAGTAAGTGGCTCTCACACAGAAAACAATGGTATAAAGAGATAAGGACATCAGGAAAGCTTGTTTGAATCTTTAGTAGATAAAAGTGGATAGGGTTTGCATTATGATGTAAAACAGCTAAGCTGATCACGATAACAATGACATTTTTGTAAGTTAGTTTAGTCCTAAATGGTGTCACATGTTTGGCAGACATTCCTCATTTGTCTTCCTCAAGCAGCAACATGTGGCTGAAACCGTCAATAAAACAGTGACCTCTGAATTGTGATTTGTAGGAGGATTGCTTTTATTAGGTATAGTGTTTTATAGTTCTATTGTAATGAGGATATTATGGCCCGCCTGGAAATGATCAACTCAGTGTGAAGACATTGGTGAACCTGGTCCTTGTCATAACAGCCTTTTCCTTTTTTTCAGTCCTAAATCTTTATCCCATCTGACAACCTTTCCGACAAAAGGAACCGTTTCCAACTAACTCTTTATAGGCTCGATTCCTGCCGATTTGTGAGGATAAGAGCATGAGTCGTTTCCACATCTGCTGAGATCTTTCTCTTAAAAGATGCATCCAGGAGACCCTTCCGTTCCACCACCACCTCCACCACCTCCACCTCCACTTCTTCCACCACCACCACCTCCTCCACCTCCTCTTCCACCTCCACCCCCTCCTCCACCTCCGTTGCCCGGACTTGCTTCAGCCCACAATGGAGCGGGCCTCTTCGGCAAAGGAGCCCGCCGGCGATCCCGGATGCGTAACTTCAACTGGGAGACCCTCCCCAAACACAGCGTGATAGGAAAGCACAACATCTGGACGGCAGATAAACCTGATGGGGAATACGAGCTGGACACAGATCACATGGAGGAATTATTCAGCCACAGCCAGGGACAGAAGAACCCCAAAGCCACCAACCGCTCCAGCGTGAGGGGCCTCCCGACTTCTGCCTCCGGAGCAGAAATGGTGAGTTCCTCACCCTTCATCTGGGAAACTCTGACCCCAAAACGTTCCCGGCAAGAGGCTGAAATATTTGGTCGTCTCTGCAGCATGGTGTTGAGATATGTAGACATGTTCCTTTGACCTGGATTGATTTTTTTTTTCTCCAGGCATGCAGTTGAGATAAACAGGAAAGAGCATTTCAAAAGCCTCCCTCTTCTTGGATATGCAACCTTTATTGTAGCAAACATTCTGCTGAATATGGCTCTTAGAGAAAAAGAGTGTGTTTGGGAAACTTTTTGACAATTTCCAGGAGATGAAAGTAAAATGTTAAAGATGTGTAGCCTTTGAATTACCAGTGATGTCCTGTCTGTATAAGGAACATGTCATATTGATGTTGAATGACTCAGTATGTGGGTGGAGTCTCACTGTTCTTCGTATTTGTTTGCTAAGGGTAGGCTCAATCCTGTCAACACGGAGCACCCGTCTGCATAGTAGCCCTCTTTTACATATATGCTACTAAATGTAGCAAGGATGGAAGGAAGCAGGATTAATTTAAGTCTGTAGATCAATTAAGTTTCTTAAAACAAAGAGGAGCTAAAATATGTTCATTAAACACTTACTTTGACCTAAGAATGTACCTTCTTGATAAGGAGAACACCAAGAAAATGTGTTGCTGACACAATATAGTATCTTTGCTCAGACTGCTCAATACATTCAACACAAAGAAACTTTAACCTTTGGAATTAGCTCTCTCTTTTGGATTGCTGAGGGTTGATGCAAAAACTGACAAGCTGATTATCAAGACTCTGTCTGCTCCCATTCCCAGGTTTCTATCCTCAGCTCCAAGAGGAGCATGAACATTGGAATTTTCCTGAAGCAATTCAAGCGGTGAGTCAGTGGTAGGACTCCTTAGGTGTGATTGGCTTTGCACAATCATCTAAATGTAAAATAACACTGCATCAGGCAGAAACATGTGTCTGGAACATGGCTATATCACCAACTTTGAAAGTCAACATGTCAAGACAGGCTTGAAATGAACATTTCCATCGTGCCAAAAGGGGACCTCCCTGTGTTTTCCAACTTATTGTCGTTGTATTGTCAAAGCTGTTTGGCAAGCACAACAGCTCAAACAGGAAATGGAAGAAAACGATTGTAAATCAAGCCAACTGACATATTAGCGGCACATCAAACAAGCAAATAAATGTTCACATATTTACTGCTGTTACCTACTGCTTAAAAAGCTAATTTTAGTCATACATATTCAATCTTTTGCGTCTCTCTGTGGTTGGAAAACACAAGTGTTGTGATTCAGCTAAATATTTTGAACAGGTAGAGACTTGTTGATATCAGCAGCCCAATTTTTCCGAGCATGTAAAGCTATGAGATTAAGGAGCACATTATTAGATGTCCCAACCCTTTTACAAGGATTGGTGATGGCTACAGGACTGGATTTGATCTGTCTCCCCCTCCATCTGCAGGCCTGTGAAAAACATGATTGAGGACATCACATCGGGATGTGGTCTCAGTTTTGGATCTGGAAAAATCAGAGAGTTGTGCCGGTTGCTGCCGGATGAAGGGGAGGTATCTAAATCTTCTCTTTTTTTATGGGATCATGCAAAGTTTGCAGCATTAAAAAGAAAATAAAGCAACGTCTGGTGTGATGATTTGGGGATTTTATTGTCCATGAATTCAGGTGAAGCAGCTGCTGAGGTTTAAAGGCGACCCATCCACCCTCCCTGAGGCAGATCTTTTTATGCTAATGCTGGTCAAGATTCAAAGGTATGCACCCAGAATGTTACTGCCTATCATGATGTCAGCCGTGGTTTACTCAACAAGTGATTTTCTCGGGGTTTATTAGGTACGAAGAACGTCTGAGCTACATGGTGCTGAAAGAGGAATTTTTCCCCCTCATGGACGAAATGAGAGAATTCATTAGGACTCTAACAGCTGCTGGAATGGGTATGTTTTTTTTTCTGTCATCAGCTTATATGGCCTATTACATGGGCTTTTAAACCATATAACTTTCCTGCCTATGGCTTCTTTCAGAGTTGTTAGAGTGTGATAATCTTCATTCTATCATTCGACTGGTACTGAAAACGGGAAATTACATGAATGCTGTAAGTACTCGACATGTGATGCCAGACTATTTGACTTTCCTTTGTATTAGTGCAGCTTTGATCTCAGGGCATTTATTTGATTATAGGGTGGTTATGCAGGCAGTGCTATTGGCTTCCGAATGGCATCCCTGCTGAAGCTGGTGGATACCAAAGCAAACAAACCCGGAATGAATCTTATGCATTATGTTGTGATGGTGAGTAGTCTTTTGTGCCTTTATTTTAGTTAAATATCAAGTCTGTTTTTCTATGTCTTACAATGTAATTTAAATAGAATCTCTTTCTTATCTGAGCTTATATGTTTTACTGCAGCAAGCTCAGAAGGCAGATGTGACGCTGCTTAAATTTCCAGAGCAACTCAAACACATTGAAGCCGCAGCAAGGTAAACAGGCTTCTTAAACAAATATTTGTGATTTAATACGGAATCCTCCCATTGTACAGATGTTAAAAGCAATAAATTAGTCTGATACAGCTGACAGAGGTTTGTAAAGACTTAAATTTGCTATAATACTTGTGAAAATGAATGTGGTTCACTGGAATGAATCGAATGGTTTAACTTATTTCTGCTCATCATCACATTGACTTTGAATTGCATTTTTTTCTCCATGTATCATTAAACTTTTATCACAACCTGCCATGCAAAAAGATCCAAAAAGAAACATGTTTTTAAAAATTCATACTCTATTAAACCATTGAAAGTTATTCCCAATTATTATTTTCACTGCTTATATGACCCAATAAAGAATTTATTGTGCCCCCAAGGGTTTAAATCTGAATAAATGTCTCCGTTTCAGGGTATAGTCAGTGCACCACAATCACTGCACACTGTGTTTGCAGTCAACAAGCTGCATGCAGCAGATATCAGTTTTCGGTTCAATTATTAAAACGCCTGTCTTTTCATGTTATTTAGAATCAATAAAGGTGACATTGAAGCAGAGTTTGAAAGACAGGTGAAGAAAGTACAAGATGCCAAAGCTGATATCCTGAAACAGGAAGACCTAAAGGCACAGATGGAGGAGTTTTTAATGGTGAGTGGGGCTTTTACAAAAGGGAAATACTATCCAGTTTGATCCAAATCGAATGATAAATTCATTTTCTGATGTCTTTGGGCTCCCATCAGGAAGCTGACGCTTGTTTGGAAGAAGTGATGTCTGACCTGGAAGAACTGCAGTCAGTCAGTGACTCTGTGGCTGAATACTTCTGCGAGGACTCAACGAAATTCCGACTGGAGGAGTGCTGCTCCATTTTCAGCTCTTTCTGTGAGAGGTTCCTGCGAGCCGTGCAGGTAAATCTGTGTGCCGACACGTTTCTGAGCCCGGCTGAAAAAAAATACTTGCCTGCCTTAACGTGGTTCATGTCTCCACAGGAAAACAAGGCCAGAGAGATCAAAGAGATTAAACAAAGACACATAGACAGGCTGCAGATCACAGCCAAGCGCAGGTCAACAGCGACCTGCTCTAGTCGGGACAAGGAAATGGAGGGTGTTGCGTTAGAGTCCGTGCTGCAGAACTACCTCACCAACGGCCTCTCCAGGAGAAAGTCCGGGAGGCCCTCATCAACTCGTGGCAGTCCGACTAACGGGAGCCTATCAGAAATCAGCTCTCCAGCAAACATCCCCACTGAAAACACTGAAAACCAGTTCAAAGCCAAGGAGATGTGCAGGAAAGAATGGACTTCAGCAACTGAACTGGCAGAGAACTTCACTCAACCAAAAGCTCAGGCACAAGCAGGGGCTGGTGCAGAACATGGTACGGCTCTAAAGGAAGAGGTAAAACCTTCTGGAAAAGTGGGATCTGGAGGTTTACTGCACCTACCCAAAAGAAGCACAAAGGTTACCTCCGCTGACAGATCTTCGTCTGCCACCACTGATGATGATGAGGGAGATCTGCAGGACAATAACTTCGAGGAGGCTCAAAGGTTGCGTGAAGCATCGAGAAAAGTTTTGAAATTCCAGAACAGTCGTGGAAGTGTCTCATCTAGCGACTTTTCTTTGGAGAATCAGAAAACTCCGACTCCAAGGGCCACCTTGCGTCGGCAGTTCACCTTTGACGAGGAAACCCAAAGGTACCCGGGGGATCCCACCAATGAGGATTTGGTCCAGTTTCTGCTCAGTTCTCAGGGCTCGTCGATACAGAACATCGCTCGCCGACATACTCTGCCTACCAAAGTTCCTAAAAGTGAAGAAGAAAAGGATTATCAACCAGCAGTCAACAGTCCAAATCACATGACACGTGACAAAAGAACGCAGGCGAGTGAGGGTGCTGGACACAAGTCCTCCAAACCAGCATTTGATTTTACTGATAACCCTCAGAACTTTAGCAAATCAGATGGTCAAGACCTGAATACACCATCAGCAGAAAAGAAGAGTAAACCGAATGATTCTTCAGGTCATGTGTCAGGGGGAATGTCTTTGGAGGACAACCAAGGGGACAAATCAATGGAACGCACAGTCATCCAGCCTCAGAGGAATACGGAGAACGTTCCCCCCAGGAGCGTGTGGTTCAAGACTGACACCTCGGGATTTTTTTCCAATTTTTTTAAACGTCTTGGAGATATAAGTAAAGCACAGAACAATAAGGAAAATGTTCATAAGGGTACAGAATCTAGTGTGTAGTGTTGAATTTTTTTTTAAAAAGAATAAAAAAAGAGTTTACGATTATGTATTGATGCAAAGCTCCTGATACTTAATTATTGCATTAAAGTAGCAAATAATTTATGACAATATAGCATTCACATGTTGTGCAATTTAGTGAATTTATTAGTGATCCTAATTTTGAAGAAATTAGGAAAATGATTGAGAGAAAGTCCTGAGAAATTTGTTCCAGAGGGTCACCCGTATGTTGTACCACTAGATGGCGAGATTTTACTGTAAGTTGAAAATGATGGTTATGAATTGTCAGGCAATATGTATGTTGCTGACAATGAAAGGGAAGAAGGGCAGGCTCACTGTAAGTAATTTAGTCGCTATTTGATGTTCACCATCTATTGATCAGGCGTCCTCATAAGCAGGACAAATGACTGAAGGTTGATATTGTGAGTTCTGTGTCAGGATTAAAAAGCACAAGATAGCAGAATGTTCATTGAAAGTAGTTGAGGGAATTGAGGTTGAGCAGGAGAAAGGTTTCAACATTGAAAAGTCGAACTGTGTTTGAATGTTATTCTGTTTGTGATATGAGACACTAGTATTTGCTTGTACTGTACGTTTCTCTGCAGTATTACTGGTTTTCTTTTATGTAATAATGAATATATTTTCCCTCTGATTCTGCCTGCTTCTCATCTTTAGTTGCCCCGAACCCATCATATATGCAGAAGCTTGAGGTTGCTTTCATACCCTGAATTCAGCCATTGTTTTCACGTAAAAATGGGTCAGTGTGACAAAGGCCGCCTGTATCTGAGCAGGGCTGAACCATGAAAAGTGCCACTGAAAAACTGACTGGAGAGGGCACTTTGAACAGAGATGTCAGGACCCTCGTTGTTTAGAGGCCAACATGTGTCGTCTGGTTATGATGGAAAGTGTAACCTGGAACCTGTGCCAGAATAGTACAGCTTGTTGAGCTATTGACCTCCATTTGCATTGCATTACAATGTTTGGATTATAAATGCTGTTCAAATTCAGTACAACTATGAAGACATGACAATGGTGGAGTTTGGGGTTAGTAATTGGTTGCTGAATAATTTGAAAGATCTCAGAAATGTTCCCTGCAATAATGTTAATAAATTGTTGACAATAAAAAAATTGTAAATGGATTTTATATGTATATAGTACATGCATGTATGTATACACATATATGTGTGTGTGGTCAGAATAATGTACTATTTTGATGCTGTAAAGCAGATAAGGTCTAATATTGTTAGACTTACTTAATTTATTGCCCCTGACAATGAGGCCCATGCTATGTGTGTGTTCTGTTCATTGCTGATTCAAGACTGCAACCGCCATCTTGACTAAACTGGAAGCAGTCTCCATGGTAACTCCACCTTGCAGAACAAACCAAAAGATGACTGTTTGCCCCTCACCCTGAGCCCCACCCCCAACAAACTCATCACGCTGCACTATCACAGACACGGTGGAGCGCATCCTCACACACTGCCATTTTCTTTCATTCACAGCGTTCATCACACAACACACTGACTACGGGCTCCACTCCAGACCCAAAATAACTCCTCAGGATTTGGGACGAACCTTCTCATTTCTCTGCCGTCATATACTGGAGTTTGTAATTTGCAGTTTCACTGTTTAGAGCCAAAATGGGAGGAAAAAAAAAGAAAAGAAAAACTTGGCCCTCTGGGGAGCGATGTAAAGAACTGAGGAGTGGTTCAACTCTTTGTTTAATTAGGAGCATATTCCCTCAATTTGCAGCATGTTTGCATCTTAATCATTCAAAACTTAAATGGGATAAAGCACATCCTTTGTCCTTTTAAGGGTGTTAGGTGGTTACTGAAGAAGCCAAACCCCTTTGCACCAGAAAGGCTGCTCCCACAGCCAGGCCCGTGCACAGCAGTGTTTGCATGTTCCCTGCCCCCTCCAGACGCCATTGGATTTCTCAACTCCTCCCACCCGCCGGCCGACCAATGCTGCCCACAAGTCACGCCTCCCCTCCCCTCCTCTCTCTCTTGTCCTCTTCCTTACTGTCCCCGTCTTCTCCCAGACAGACCCTGCCCTTTCTCTTCTGCCGCCCTGTCTGTGGGTTCTGTTGTTGAGGACTGGGAGGACTGGGAGGCTGACAATGGGGAGCTTTCTTTACCGCCTGCGATGCTGACACACCAGACCCTCCTGCTGGGAGCCACCGTGAGTACAATCTGGCCTTTCACTTCTTTTTTAGTTGGATCCTGTTTGGTTTTTCTCTCACCTCGTTTGTGCCTTTTCTGGCAGCCCTCACAATTACAATGACGAGGCTCACAGCAGATTCAGAATTGATGATGCCACCCCCAGCCAGCATCTGTGCGCTGGTGAATCTCAGGGGCTGTTCTCATCTGCCTTGGTGTTGCCCTCCTTGCAATCTGTTCCTGTATTATTCAGCATTTCATCCAAAACAGACAAAAAAACTCTAAAAGGATTGATTTGTCCGATTCTTTTTAAGAGCACTGTTCCAGTGATACAGTTGAAGAATCAGCCAGTAAAGCACTACTGGCTGATTCTCAGCGCTTCCTCATCCTGCCCACACACTTCTCCATTTTAGCTCCCAGCCTGCTGCCGGCTGGCTGCCGGCGGGCTCTGAGGCAGGTGGGCATCTCTGCTGCAGTATGAGGGCTGGGCCTTCCCCACCAGCCGCGGATGCTCTTTTGTTTTGAGGATTAGGGGCTTTTTCCGTGTCTTTTCTGATCTGAACTGGCGTGGTATTGGCCTGCTGGGAGTCTCTGTCTGAGGCACATGTGAATCAGCATCCCGCTCTCTGGTGTCAGTCACAGACTGCAGCAGCAGCATCCTGCGATGCATCATTCTCATCCCTGGCCTAAACGCTGTGCTGGTAGATTTGTGGCTCTATATGGAAAAAATCTTTGTTCTATGAGATGGTTCTTTGTTGTGTAGATTACCCCAAAATGGTTATTATGGCCAATGCAGCTAGCAGCTATTTTTACACCGCTGTCTGTTTGTTCTGGGTCAGGAGAGGTCGGTCCTGGATGCTGCGCCAGAAGTCAGGTTTTTAGGTTGGAGGTTATTGTTTGTGTTCGTAAAAGTGTCTGTAGAAATGGAGATAAACACTAGCTGAACTTTAATGGTAGCATGACATGTGTGTGTATATATATGTATTTATATGTATACTACTATATTTCTATATTCCATACATAATCTTGTACTGTGCTCTATACTAGTGACTAGTGAATTGTTATGACAATTCACTAGTTGCTATGACTCCCCCAAACTTGTCTACCAATATTCAGAATTTCTATAAAGAAAACAAAAAACAAAACAAAAGCACATTGTAGATCCGTATAGTGTCAGTGCAGTGTAATGTAAGCATTTTGAAATGCATGTAATAACTATGAATCAAGGAAAATGACCACAAATACATCTTTATGAAAGAAATGACAGATAACTAATAGGAAAACCAGGGGATACATATTGAGTCTTCAGATCATCATCTAAAAAGAAAAAATTCTTTAGACCAGGCGATGTTTGTGCATTGCAAAGTACCAGCATTGACTGTATTCTGCTTAATATTGACTGTATTCCAGCTTTACACTGAAGTCATTATTTAAAAAAGTCATTAGGGCTTTCATCGTCTCATTTTCTGTGTGATGACAATTTTATTGATTGCAATTCATTGTCTGGGCAGGTTCATAAAATCAAAAGATGGATGCTCTCATTTAAAAAACTGTACAATATATTCTTTATAGTGGTATTTAGATATAACTTAAATTACTTTTATTGTCTAAACAGAAGTGTTTTCAGTTTGTTTTTCCAGTTCAATTCCTTCTGTTTAACTTTTTGATCCAATCACACATAATCAATATATTACACTATCAAGCCAAAATCAAATTAGTTTGACATTATTTAATTTACATTAACTTTTTATGCTCAGTGGACCATGTTTACAACAACCAAAGGTGATTAAATGCCACAGGAAAATTGGCTAGGGATTTTCATCACGGCAAAACATTCAGAGTCCCAGTATGAGAGCCAGTGGCTGCTTTTACTGCAGGTAAATAAGCGCTGCAGGCAGGCCTGATCCAGCTTTGGTCCGTTCTGTATTGCATGTTGTACCTGCAGAAGCTGCCGTCATGCCGCATTGTCTTCTCTCAATGTTTATCATAGTGAGATGGCAAGGAGAAACACAGATACCCTTGTGTGCTCACTTTGTCTCTGCTCATTAGTTGTCCAAACTCAGCAGTCTAATGGTTAGAGACATGAAAGGTAAATGGGCAATGCATTTAAAGGTTTCACAGGTTTACTCACTATTAGCATAAAAAAACAAAATGACATATTAGTTTGAATGTCTTGCTCATTCTGACCAGGCTAAGAAAACAATATCCTTTGATAACAGTAGACCAACTATTATTTTATTTCCACAAAAGCTTTAAGCATTAGTAATACATGTTTGACTTTTTTTTCAGCAGTGCATCTGAAATATGATATTTACTGCAATGTATATAGCAACACTTGCAACATTTAAACATCATGTACATCATGAATAATTCATTTGATAAAGCTCTGTGAAAGTTTCTGTTGCCAAGCTTTGCTTCTTCCTTCATCCTGTTATCTTTCTCCTTCTGTCGAAACAGCAGCTACGTCTTTGCTACGCACTGCAGTGCTCCCTAAAAATGACTGATTTAAGACACTCAAGCAAGTGGTTGGAAAGATAAACTACAGTCTATATTTAACTGCAATCTTGAAAGCAAATCAAGAGGCGACACATCTGACCTTAGGTGGGTGAGGGTCAGGGTCAGTGTGGGGTGAGTGGTGGTCATCTGTCCGGTGTACTGTAAGATTCTGAAATATACTGTCCGAAGTCGCCATGCTGCTGTGTCAACTACATGGCACATCCAGTATCCCCAAAAAGTAAATAAACAGATGATCAATTCCATATAAGGGAGCATGTAATCCTCAGTAGCAGAAAACAAAGCTATTACAGGCTAATAGACTCTAAACACTACATGTACTTGCTTCTTGCAGAAACAAGGAAAGAGGAAGAGATTATAAAATACTTTTATTGCCATATAAGCAAACAATCTGAAAATTACACCCACCTTAAAAGCGTAGTTAGTCTTTCCTCTTTTCATCTTTTTTTAACTCTCAGTAGGATTTGATCATCGTTGTATAATAGTTGTAGACATGTAAGAAACATGGACCTGTGCATGTGTATCTGTGAATATAAAAATGGCAGCCAACATCAGTTCAGTTAATATACGACCCTGATGCATATACGATGAAAATATCCTTATCAATAGTAGAGATAATAACTGATTTCACTAATAGACCATACTGCACCCTCTGCAGATCCGATCCAGGAAAATAAAGAAACTGCAACACCAAAAATAGGCACATTTACTGTTTTTAAATCAAAAGAAATACACTGTCAGGCGTTAGTGTAAAAGTCCTTAATCATAGATTTTTCTGTCTTTGGTCACATGACTCAACGAGACCGACACTGGCCGAACCAACCTTTTGAAACAGAAGTAAAACTGAAGTTCTTAAACCTTTGAAACTGTTCACAGCATTGCTGCATTGAGGAGAAAGTGTGCAATATCTCAGTTCTCCTTCTCTGCATGCATACTGGGACTAAAGAAAATCCAATTAAATTGCCAAGCTGACAGTGCATGAAAAGGCAGTGACTAAGTCCTGCAGACAACCGAATCACTGCCTCTCAGACCTCCATTTCGATGCACATACATATGGATGCAATTTCATTTGTTTTTCCAACGCTGAAAAACATGGATGCTTTGAAAAGCCTCTGTTCTAAAACAATATCCCATGTTTTTACGAACTACATGTCTATCAAATGTCTTCCCGTACTGAAAATACCAGTTGCATCCCCTGGATGGAATATTCTTGGTGCGAGCACCTGCAAATTACGTTTGCATTACACAGAGAACATCAGTTGAATTAGCTAAATGTGTGAAATTGTATACATTTTAGGTAATACACCCACAAGTGATGATTCATCCCATCATCCATTTTTCACACATCATATGCAGAGTCATGGGAGGGGATCTCCGGCTGCCGTAGGGAATGAGGCGGGATATACTCTGGGCAGGTCACCGGTCCATCACATGGCCATATGGTCACACTTCTGGAATCAGTTTAAAATGACCAATAATAATATGCGTGTGTTTGAGATGTGAGAGGAAGCTGGAATATCTGGATAGAAGCTATGCACGGTTCCAAGGCCTGACTGAGAACTGAGTAAAAACTTCCCTGCTGTGAAGTGACAGTGTTATAACCCTAACTCTCTCCCAGAATTGATCCCATCCACTTCCTTTCTTATTTATGTATTGTGGTCATGGCACTTTGCAAGTTGACTGTCAATCAAACACTCAATTAAACAGAAGGAAGTTGAATATCGTGAAAAACTGGCTCCACAGTCTGCCTTCCAGCCGAGTAAATCCTGGCAGATTGAACTGAGGACACTGTTTTCTGTAATTATGAGCTTATGTTGATCGAATCCAATTAAACCATTTATACAAGACATACTTGAAACACCTTTTCTCATTCACGGGATTACCTGTGTAATACCTTATGTGAGGAAAAGCCATTGCCAGTGATGCAACATTTTTCTACACATGGAACCTTTACTTTAACACACGTTTGGTTTGACTGGACGTGGTAGTATCGTTTGAATCTGGAAGACTTTGTAATCCAGATGGCAGACGGGGTCTGACCCTGCAGGAGGACACTAAGCCACTTAGCTGAAGTGCAAGGTGAGAGTGGCCAGTGATACTTTGCATGAAATCTTGCTGAATTGGAAACATTCACATCCTGTGAATTTGTATCACCAACCACTATTATTCAAATGATATTTGTTAAATGGTTTTTTTGTCTGTGACTTTCTCTTATATCTACCTTTTATCTAAATATACAACACATTCTACGTGATTCTGTCAATAGGACTTTTTTAAAGCGAGACCATCTTTCTGTGGTGAGGTAAGTGGGAGTAACGGCCAAGGAGAGCTGCAGGGAGAGGAGACAGGCAGGGTGGAAGGGAAGTGAAGGCGGGGGAGACTGTTGCAATCCCAAAGCCAGAGGCCAGCCAGCCAAGAGGGGAGGAGCCTGGGGGGCTTTGGCTCATCCAGCTTCCTCCTGATGTCACCGTTCAGCTGCTACAGCTCTGTGTGTGTGCAGAGGGGAAGACAGCGCAGGGAGGGGAGGGCCTTTTAGGGGAGTCAGAGGATGGGGGAGGCCTGAGGGGCTGGGTGAGGGCCTGTTGTGTGGACAGTGAAAGGGCTCTCCAGAAGTCTTCCAATCACGTGATGAAGCAGCCACAATGGAATCTGCAAGCCTGAAAAAAAAAAAAAAAAGCCTCTTGCAAGATTTCTGCGGTCGACACGAGGCTTGCAGATTCCCGGTGTCTGATTTGCTGTGATTTAAAGAAGAGTGAAACAATGACAGCACAAAAAAAGGGAAGCAAATGGTAAGGAAGCCCATGCGGCGTGGTTTAGCTGAGAGCGGAGCTGGAATGCTATTGTTAGGGCTTTCTGGTGTGTGTGGCAGACGGGGACAGCTGCGTGAAGCCCGCCTGCTGCTGTGAGACAGGCAGCCCGGCTCACCCAGAACCCCCCAGCAGACAGACAGGTGGTTCCTGAACCCGGCCCGCTACGAGTCAGAGGAAGGAACTGGAAGGAATTTGGGGAGTGGCGTTTTAAAGCTTCCTCTTTCCTTTTTCTTCCTATCAAAGAAAGGGGGCCCTAGATATGTTTGTCACAGCTGATTTCTAAAAGAGTGAGAAGTTATTATTTTGTTTCGAGGTAAGCATGATCCCAGGTCAGCCTGTAAGACCAGCTTTAAACTGGGATAATAATTAATAATGTCACAACTGATCAGATCCACAATTGTCTTTGACCACATTATATCTGTTTTTACTGCTGTAAAAAGGATGCTCTTTTTATATCTAAGTCTACAGAGTAGGACTTTCTTGACCTATTTCAGTACATCCTATGTAGTTGGACAGTTAGATTTGATAATGATGTACATTTTGCTAAAGACGCAGTGAATTCAGACATTCAATACAATTATTTGAACAAGCATATCATCCATTGTCTTTTAATTTGACATTTTCTCAAACTGCATTTTCATGAAGTCAACATCCTGCCTGTGAGATCTACAGTTATGCTCTGTTGACACTTTCTTGTCCCCTCATGTTGACTTTCTATGTTAGAATGACGAGTGAGTTTGAAGATGATTGCATTAGCATCACTAAAACAATATTACATCTACCAAATCTATTCCAGTCAAACAGAAGCTTTCTTTTTAAAGGGGGAGGTCAAGTATATTTTTATGTTCTTTTTTTATAAACTGTGAACCACTGGCTTTAATGTGAACACAAATTATATAAAAGATTCTGTGAAACATGGTATAAACTGTAGCCCGATGCTTTAATGAATATGCTTGTGGGTCATATTTAAACGGTGTGTTTGGACTTGATTTAATCCTCTCTCATGGCTGTGTACCATACGACAGATGTACGACATATCATAGACAGGCTCCGTTAATCTGTGCCTGACCCAGTGATACACTTACATGTGATAGCAGCTCTGTCATCTGATCAGAGAGTTAACAGGACATCCACTGCTCTAGAAGTCAACTATATAATGAAGCTGATCCAGTGAATGTTAGAATATTGCCAGAAATTGCACAAGATGCTTTCTCAGTGTTTTCTGTCTGCATATTTAGACAGACCACCGTGAGCCCAGGCGTGTGGGGTCATCTTGAGAGCGTTTTCATGGCTGATAGTTCTCCCCTGTGGCGTTGATCACATGCATTTGCATCCTCGTGTTGTGAACTTGACCCAAAAAAATTGTAATTACTATTTACTGAAAAGCTAAAATTACTGACGTGGTTTGTAGAGGGAGTGCATGGTGTTGGCAATTTTCAGGCCAGGATTCAGAAAAGGTTTTATGATGTTAACAGCATTATGACTCATTGTTTCCTTAGTTAGCTTAAGCAAATACACCCGCCTTGCTCTGGTTGAATGCTTCCCCAAGGATTTCCTAACCTATCCTGTGTTTTTTTCTATCCAGGTTGAGAGGTCCCTTCCCCCTTTGAATGTCAGTCATTATGGCAAAGCGTGAGACCGACAGCACCAGCCCTGTGGTCAGGCAGATAGACAAGCAGTTCCTGGTCTGCAGCATCTGTTTGGACCATTATCACAACCCCAAGGTTCTGCCCTGTCTGCACACTTTCTGTGAAAAGTAAGCCCTGAATCATTCAATCAGATTATTTTTTGCATAGATTCTTTTACAAAATATATTTTGTGTCCCTGATGCACTGAGAATAATATGACTCTAAACAGATTAGCATACATTTAAAGAGAGAAACAATAAGGTACAGCATTAGTTTAAAGGCTTATTAGAACCTGGTAACATTTTCAAAAAGAAATCCACACATCTGACAACGAACAGCTATTTTAGGGATAAATATTTTACTATACAGTAAAGTTCAGTTTTGAGTTGTTGTGCTCGGAGAAAGCTGTAAGCAGAGCGTTCACATTTAACGCAGTCAGACCCTGACACACATTTATCACAGCTGTGTTTCCTGAACCAATTCTGATTTATGTGTCTTCTTATTGTAGATGCCTACAGAACTACATCCCTCCCCAGTCTTTGACACTATCCTGTCCAGTATGCAGACAGACTTCTATCCTGCCAGAGAAGGGCGTGGCAGCCTTACAGAACAACTTCTTTATCACCAACCTAATGGAGGTGTTGCAGCGAGACCCACAGTGCAGCCAACCGGAGGCCTGCAGTGCACTCGATACGGCCAATTCAGCCGCAACCTGTCAGCCTCTGTCCTGCCCCAATCATGAGGGCAAGGTAAGACACAAACAGTCGACACAATAAGTGTTAGATAGTGGGTGAGAACCATTACACCAGGCACAAATTCATGACCACTTTACCCAATATTAAAGGGTTTAATCTATACATACATACATGTTGGATGTGTGATATTCTGTTTTCTTGTGCTCTACTGCTCCATCTGCAGATGATGGAGTTTTACTGCGAGTCATGTGAGACGGCCATGTGTCTGGAATGTACAGAGGGTGAGCACAGAGAACATGTGACGGTGCCACTGAGGGATGTGCTGGAGCAGCATAAGTCAGCTCTCAAAAGTCAGCTGGATACTGTGAGCAACAGGTAACAGTTTATCAGGAATCTAATCAATAATCAGCCAGTAAACACCTCCGTAAGAAATTTGAAAGACTTAAGATCTGAACGATTTGCCCTGTATTCGTCTTTTTTTCTGGCAGACTACCTCAACTGACAGCGGCCATTGAGCTTGTGAATGACATCTCCAAGCAGCTAACAGATAGGAAAAACGAGGCAGTGACTGAAATCAGTAATACTTTTGATGAGCTGGAGAAGGCCCTACACCAACGCAAGACTGCTCTTATCAACGAAGTGGAGAACATTTGCGGCACTAAGCAGAAGGTCAGAGATTTTTCTTCGAACCATCTTGACGAGAAAGACAAAACGCCATCATGTTAAACGTTTTTAAGCACGGGCTATGTTTCCTCTGTCTCTTTGGACTGTTTAGGTCCTTCAAACTCAGCTAACCTCTTTGCTCCAGGGCAAAGAGAACATTCAGAGCAGCTGCAGCTTCACAGAGCACGCGCTCAGCCACGGCAGTGCCACCGAGGTCCTCCTGGTCCAGAAGCAAATGGGTGAGAGAGTCAGCGCTTTGGCCAGACACAGCTTTCCAGAGCACCCTCATGAAAACGGCCACCTTGAATGCCAGGTGGAGACGGATGGACTGAGGCGCTCCATTCAGAACCTGGGAGTCCTCATCACCACGGGGGCGGTAGGCCACACTAGTGTCGCCACTGGCGAAGGCCTGCGGCACGCCCTGGTTGGCCAACACACCACCGTCACAGTCACCACTAAAGACAAGGACGGGGAGCTAGTGAAGACTGGGAATGCTGCTCTCAGGGCAGAGATTATCTCAGCAGACGGAGGGTGCACTGAAGCCGAGGTGGTGGACAACAAAAACGGCACCTACGAGGTTGGGTATACCATCCGATCCGAGGGAGAATTCACCTTCTCTTTGCTGTTATATGAACAGCCTGTGAGGGGGAGTCCATTCCGTTTGCGTGCTGTCAAGCCATCAGATGTCCTGCAGTCACCAGAAGACGTGAAGAGAAGAGTGAAGTCCCCGAGCGGGGGAGGAGGTCATGTGCGACAGAAGGCTGTGCGCAGGCCCTCCAGCATGTACAGCACCACCAAGAAAAAGGAAAACCCAATAGAGGATGAGCTGATCTACAGAGTTGGTGGGTGAATACTTTTTAGCATCCCTATTATCTTTAGATTATATTTACCTAGTTGCTCGAACTAAGTCAGACTAAGTCATCTTTGGACTGTTGGGAACATACCGGGTGATTCAGAATATGAGTATTGGGACAAAATTGTTAACTTTTGTAAAACACAAGACAAATGCAAAGCATATAGACAATGACAAAAATCATTATGCAGTACACAATGTAAAAAATACCTCCCCATGCACAGTGCTAAGGCACTTTCTACTACTTTCTTATATTTCAGGAACAAGAGGGCGAGACAAAGGAGAATTTACAAACCTTCAGGGCATATCAGCCTCCAGCAATGGGCGGATTGTGGTGGCAGACAGCAACAACCAGTGCATACAGGTTATGGTCCTTCATTTTCTAAAAAAACTAAAACATTATTTCAATATTTTAGATTTTAGAGTAAAGAACTTTTCTTGATTCCAGGTCTTCTCTAATGATGGGCAGTTTAAGATGCGGTTTGGGGTAAGGGGTCGTTCACCCGGACAGCTGCAGCGCCCCACAGGAGTAACAGTGGACATGAACGGGGACATTATCGTGGCCGATTACGACAATAGATGGATTAGCATCTTCTCCTCAGATGGCAAATTCAAGGTAGGAACTGTGGCACATGGAAAGGCAACACCACAAATCTGAAAACGGAACATCTGAATGACCGAACTCTTTCCGGGTGCTACAGAACAAAATAGGTGCTGGAAGATTGATGGGACCCAAAGGTGTGGCTGTGGACAAGAATGGCCATATCATCACGGTTGATAACAAAGCTTGCTGCGTCTTTATCTTCCAATCCAATGGGAAGCTGGTGACTAAATTTGGAGCCAGAGGAACTTCAGACAGACACTTTGCAGGTACACTCTTACATGTAACACACAGGGTGATCATTTAATCAATATTTCTTTAAGGAAGTGTTTGGGACCCTATTTCAATGAAGCAGCATGTATCGAGGCATTTGACTGGGCCAGATTTACATTTTCTTTTTCCTTCTTGGAAATGTTTCACTGATAAGCATGTTTCTGTACACCCTTTAATCAAGAGGTCCAAAAAGTGTGTGCATATACAGCTCCAGGCTTTGCTACAGAGACCAAAAGCCTGTTTTTGCACCTTTGTTGTTGCAATTGTTTTACCGAATGCCATAAAATGTACATGTGCACCAAATCATCTCAGTGTAAAACAGATGGCCGATAATTAAAGAGGCTTACATTTATGATGCACGTTAATGCATGAAACAATGTTTTTTTGTTTTGTTTTTGCCTTTAAAGATGTTACAATAACAATATTTATCTTCTGTTTCTGGATTCTACTTGAGATGGGCTTCAGCTGTACAGTCTTATTCAAGTTGTAACTCACCCTTCTTTCAGTTTAATTTCTCACTTGATACTTTTCTTTTCTTTTAGAGAAAAGTGGTGCAAACATTGCACTGGAAACAAAGCTTAGTAAATCTGGTCCTGTTTTCAGTAAGTAATTAATTCACTGTGAGTGTGAGCTGGGGAAACAAATCTTTGTTCGTTTTACATGTCGCTTCGTCGGCTGTGTCACGTCTCCCATGTTGTCCAACATCGACTCACAGCGTCTCTCTGTGGCCACATTGTGTCTCGTTGGCAAAGTCTAGAGGAACTTCCTCTTGTGTGTTGTACAGCAACTTCTGACTCATAGTTACTCTTTCCTTCTCTTTCCTGTTTCAGGTCCTCACTTTGTGGCTGTGAATAACAAAAATGAGATTGTAGTAACAGACTTTCACAACCATTCTGTCAAGGTATGGCTGACTTAAAGTGTGGACGGAAATTTTGTATCATAGTTAACGTGCGCCGAGGCTTGGATTAGAGAAAAGTGTGTGTACGTTTGCTTGCCAGCATTACAGTGAACATATTTGCGGTGTAAGTTCTTAAATTGAAAGGAGATCTCTTCAGAGTTGTCTAACAGGTGATACAGTTTAAGAATACATCCGTATAACAATGAAAGGCAGACCTAATTATACATCATTTTTACGAAATGACAAAAATAGGCCTAAAGCTGTTTGCTTTGCTGGCTGCTTCGGTTCAAATAATTTTAGCAATCCACTATGTTTGTGTCCATATTTACTTTTACGGGAGTAAATGTCTTTCTCTTAATGTTTTTTCTTGTTTATTCGTGGTGACAGGTGTACAATGCAGATGGGGAGTTCCTTTTTAAATTTGGCTCCCATGGTGAGGGGAATGGCCAGTTCAATGCTCCGACGGGAGTGGCTGTGGATGCTAACGGGAATATTATCGTGGCCGATTGGGGCAACAGTCGGATCCAGGTTAGCTTAACAAAAGTTCCATTCCACAGAATGCAGAGTCAACTTTCTGAGCGTGCCACTAACTACCGGTCTCTCTGCTCCAGGTGTTTGACAGCTCAGGATCTTTCCTCTCCTACATCAACACATCAGCCGACCCGCTTTACGGCCCTCAGGGTTTGGCCCTTACATCCGACGGCCATGTTGCAGTGGCAGACTCTGGGAACCACTGTTTTAAGGTCTATCGCTACCTACAGTAGAGACACCAGGCAGCCCTCTCCACCACTACAAGCACTGACGACACAACCAATGTATTCCACAGGGTGCGATGATATTTCCAGCACAGCCTTTTGATGTGCACATCAGCATATTTTACAGATATAGTTGTCAACCCATTTTACCTTTATGATGTGTATTGAAAGTTGATTTTTCAATTTGAATAATGTAGCGTCCTCGGGACAAAATAATGACATAAACGAATAAACTCATTTTGGACAGATTGCAAAGGCATTTTTGTGCGTCACACGCGTTGGTGATACTATCGAACTAGAATTTCTATAAGACCTGAAAACTTTAGGAGATAGAATTGAAGTATTTAATCAGCCATAACTTGACCAGATGCATGAAGTTTGATTTTTTCTCGATACTTAAGCAGCAACACAGTGTAGTCATCATTTGCTTTTTCCACAGGCTTGTTAATGCTTACAGTGAACTGAACAGTGCTATGCTTCTTCAGCGATGAAATGTAAAGTTTTTCATTTACTGGCAACTCACATAAAGATATCACCACCATCCGTGCATTGAATTGCTGTATGTATTGTATATACATGAATGTATATTGTGTATATTAGATCACTCTGTATGTATGTGCTCTTATTTGAAACACAGTCGTTTGCCTATTCAGAGAGAGGGAGCCGAAGATGGATTCCAGGTCTTTGATTATGTGTATGGCAGCTGTTAAAGAGTGGGCTCTTGAAACACACCAGGCACATGATTTACAAAAAAAAGTGTCATATTATTGCTTATCTAAGCAGCACAATAATAATTTTGTTTATAATGGTTATTTTGAAGGGGAAAACAATGCTAATTTATTTTATTTTGTACTGGCTCAGCATTTACAAATTATTTTTCTAAAATTTGATGTGCTTTTTTCTCGTTTTATTTCACACCCATGTGGGGAAATTTCCTCTTAAAGCAGAATTCAGTATCCATTAACATCCTGAAAATGTAGATAATCATTTGTGCAGATGGGCAACTGGTTTCCAAAGCTAGAGCGCCATCATTTTCATTTAGGATGCAAATGCAAATTTAATTGTCTGGACTTCTTTACTTAGGGACTATGTTAGGTTGAGGAATTTAATTGATTGTTTTGCATTCAATACTTTTTAAAATTGCTATCCACTGAAGTGCTACCACCTTACCGGAAATAAAACACATATCTCAGGAAAGCCATCCAAATTTGACGAGTGTACGTGAAACAATCTGCAATATTGTTGATTTCACAGGCACATTAGTGAGACGGCCTCATGGATGCTTTGTGAGAAAACTGTTCATTTGTACAAATGTAATCCACATCAAAGATCACCGAAATCATGAAGATGGAATATGAATTCTGTTTTACAGTGTTTTTTTTTATTTTTATGGCTTCACAGGAAACAGTTTCAAATGTGTGTTATCATTTCATAGAGGACATTGAGTAGTTAACACTCCTTGTTATATTTGAAATCTAACTATCTCTCATCCCTGAGTTCCTGCCTGCACTACGTCATGCCATGACTCAAAAGCGAGGACTCCTACCGGTTAAGCTGTCGCTGCTCTTGCTCCCCCTTATGTTTCTTTTCTGTAATTTCAGAGGATAACATTGTGCCACAGCAGAAAGAGAAAGCTTGTGTTAAGATCAGGCTCCTGGCCTGGCCTAATTATCCACAGCACTGTGTTTAACATCCAAACACCATCAGCAGCTCCTCACACTGTGGAGCTACAGGACTGTAACATAACTCAACTGTCAGCCAGGAAGTTGCTGTTTTTTCATGATCTGTTCTTAGACTTGTTGCCAAACAGGAGTAAAGACACATTTAGATAGACAGTTGGTCATCTTTCTGGAAAATGTCTAAGATATTTCATCATACTCATTTTTTCTTTATGAATATGCACTGGTAATAAAAGCACATGGTTTACTGAGCTGTCGTAAATCCTTATTACTCATTCTAAGTTTAGTTTACTGACAGATTACTGAGAAATTTGACCTGTTTTTCATTGGAATTAGTTTTAATCCCTTATTGTTAAATATTTGGTAAGTGGTTACAGTTCGAAAACATCTTATGTTAGTTTAATTGTTATCAGACGATAGCTGGACCACTGGAAAAAAAGCATCTATGGCCGTTCGTAATCTGACTTCTGTATATTTCAGATATGTTAAAAAAAGAAAATCTGTTTTCTTTACAAAAAATCATTTATTTGCAGACCACTTTGTGCTCATGGTCAATGTTACAAATACAGCACATACAATAAGCATTTATAACAGTAATCATTCCCAAAACATCCAAATGTTATAATCATATGTAATATATATGTATATACATACATACATACATAAATGTGCGTGGAACCCTCAGAATGCACTCAAAGCATTGAAGTGTAATAAACAAAAGCCACAATACACAGACACAGGATCAACACTACATAAACAAGCAGATTGCCAAAAAGAATTTGGGGTAACACTTAATGAAAAAATTATATAACAAGTTGCATAGAGTTGTTTTAAGTCGTAAAATCAAATCCCAAATAGGCCTAACACTCATGAAGTAGATAATGCAATGAGAGGTTATTATAGGATGAAGAGGTAATCAGATTTTGTGGTAATGTGGTGTTTGGACACGAGGGAAAAGAACACTGATAAAGGGACGCCTTGTTGAAAGTGTCTTTTGGTGTACAGTATTTCAATGCAAACATGGCACAGTCATTATCCACAGAATACATACAATGACAAGTAAATAGTTCCAGAAAGAATTGTTCAAATCAAATGCATTGTGATAGAGGAGCTATGTCAAAGTAACGTTGCAATGAAAAAAACGACATATTTAACGTAAATGAATATTTCAGAGGGAATCTTTGAAGTGAATGTTGATGGTTGAATACAAAACCTTTGATTACTCTTATGTGAAATGTGATTTAAATAAACAGCAAAATCATCATAGAACTATGATTTTCAGGAATGCAGTCACTCACTGTCGCTATGAAATTCTGCGACTAATCTCTGAAGTTATGTAAATCTGGTGTCCCAAGAGTGAAAATGGCCCAGATTAGAAATATTGGATCTTGAATCTCTACTTTGCTACGCTGTACACTGCAGACCAGCTGGCTTTAAAGTCGCTTCAAACAATCATTCTTCCCTTATTTGATTTAGTGCTATCTGTCAATCACAGAGTCATGAAATCATACAATGTTTCAACAACTAAATATTAGGGGAAAGGCAACAATAACAGTTAAGTACAGATAAATACTGATGTGTATAGTAAAATACCAACTGGTGGAAATACAGCAGATCTGCCACATTCGTCAGAAGCTCATTTCAGATCATCGTTTACACTTCGGGAGACCCGAAAATCAAAAGCATGCAAAATCAAAGCACAAGAAACAATATCTTTTCAAATAAATTTTTTCTTTTCAACTGAGCTGATGTTTTACAGATTACACATAGGACAAACATTTTACATAATAGAACCTCCAAATGTCCGAATTTCTTAGGCACACATTGAATCTAACTCATTCTCTATAACAACGGACAGATTTTATGGAAGCAAACCATGGACAGAGTCTTAATGCATGTAATCTTACGAAGCCTATTAATAAAAACCAGCGTTTCTTGACTTACCCAGCAAAACAGCCCCTGCCATTCAAGTTAAGAGGGATCTCCTTTAGCACCTTTAGAGACGTATTAACACCTTTTTGGATCAACTGGCATTAAGAGCCAATCAACAACAGTTAGTGAGTGCTGATAAACTGACAAGCGCCGTAAATACAAACACTGTCCATCTCCGACTTAGTGTCCAAACCACTCCCTGTGGCGGTGGAAGCGATGCAGTATTTCAAGTAATTCTCTGAATAGAATCAAAGCTTTTGTTGTATGTGTTGCTTCACACAATCTTTCATTTTTAGCTAAATGTGAGGCACTTGCAAAATAAAACGGTCAGCTAAATCACTCAGTCCTCAGTCGGTCAGACCTCAGAACTGTCACCGTTGCTGAGGCCTGGGGTCACCATTGGCTCTTTGCTGCTGGAGTTCCTCGGCACTTCCTTTTTCTCCCGTTTGGACCGCACCAGCAGCACCAGCACGATGATGAGGAGCACGGTGAGGAGCAATCCCACCAAAACGCCGACGATCAGCACCAGCCGGTCGTCACCATCCCTCCGGTTGACCTCTCGGGAGAGGTTTCCCTGCTGGTTGAAGACCTCCCTCTCCGCGCTGGGTCTGCGCTGGCTGCTCCGGTCCAGTGCGATGTGCAGGATGTTGGTGCCCCGGTTATTGTTCACGCCGATGTCGTCTACGACGTCCGGCACGTCATTGGCTGATCTTCTGGAGCGGAGGTGGCTCTTTGCGGGAGGGTTTGTGTGATGGCTCATTACGTGGTACTCCAGGCTTCTCTTCCCTATGCCGCGGTTCGCATTTTCCCGGGAGCGGACGGTGTAGATGGTGTGTATGAACCACTCTCTGCCTGCTGCCACCTGCCAACAGCAACACAACACACACTGCTGTCAGAGGCCAGATTACCAGGTTCATCACCATCATTATCTTTAAACGGCAGCTACAACAATATGTTTAGATACCTTTAAATTGAAAGAGGAACATAAGTTAGATGATTCTAAAAATGTCTAGTTTTAATAAAAAAAACTTACTACAAAAGTATGCACAAACACACATGAGACACCATCCTATAAACAAATAATTATTATGGTAAAAACCTCAAACCTCCTCAAACCATGGATCATCACAACTTTTTTGCACCCCAAATTTGGTAAATTGGTGTAAAACTACTGGAAAAATTGTTTTCTTTGACCTAATAACAATTTTTACTCTCAACCAGCCAAGAAACAGAAACATTTACAAGAGAAAGAAACCTGGGCTTGACAAATGGTTGGGATTGTACGCTGTGTTGGATTTCATAATCAGAGATCATAGAAAAACCTGCGAGGTGATAGGATAATTCACACGAATTTACCAGAGACAGAATCAGAAACTGATTATAAGTTCATCACCTCTCCTCAAAACGCAAGGGGGAAAATTCCATCCATCCAAATAAGATCTTGTCTCAGGATGTACACTTATTACATTTACTGTACGGACTATTTTTACTGACCTGAAAGAGAGCAGTAGAATCCAATCTGAACCCGTCTGCTCCAGGTTGTCTCACCAGAGCTAACGCTCCGGGGTCGTCCACCGCCAATAAGGAATTAAAGCCTACACTGCCAAAGGAGCGGGCCTGGGTCTCCGGCTGGGCTTTATCCTGGAGAGAAAAAAATCAAACTCAAATTAATAATGAGGTCTGGATACCTACAAGACAATGTTTTTTTTTTGTTTTTGTTTTTTATACTTACAATAATTTTGAATCTGTAAAGTAGTGATGGAGCGTCAGCCAGACAGCCAAACTCGAAATTGGTGGGGTTGTATTTAGGAACATATCCATCAGCTCCTGTGCACAGGAACACTTTCTCTATGGTGCAAATGAATGAGTCGCCCAAGTTCTGCACTGGATCCACCATCACTCTGCCATAAATCACATCCCCTGGGGAGGAAGAGACGCGGTTTCAACATGGCAAGACAATTAATTCTGGTGTTTTTTAGTTTTTTTGTGTAATTGTATTACATTGAATAAATACAATGATTTATTGCTGACTTTGACTTTAATAGATAGTACAGTCTTGCTTAATTAATAAAAATAAAAGTGACATATTTCTTTTTGATATGTGGAGAGAAGTTCAAATCTCTCTTTCTTTCTTTCTTTCTTTCTTTCTTTCTTTCTTTCTTTCTTTCTTTC